TCCTCCAAACACGACGAGTGAAGTTTAGACCAAAAAGTTCTATTTTGGTCTTATCTGACCACATGACTTTCTCCCATGCCTCCTCTGGATCATCCAGATGGTCATTGGCAAACTTCAGACGGGCCTGGACATGTGATGACTTGAGCAGGGGAACCTTCCGTGCAATGCATGATTTGAAACCATGACGGCGTAGTGTTCTACTGACAGTGACCTTTGAAACTGTGGTCCCAGCTCTCTTCATGTCATTGACCAGCTCCTCCCTTGTAGTTCTGGGCTGATTCCTCACCTTTCTTATCATCAGTGATACCCCACGAGGTGAGATCTTGCATGGAGCCCCAGTCCGAGGGAGACTGACAGTCGTCTTTAGCCTCTTCCATTTTCTAACAATTGCTCCAACTGTTGATCTATTTTCACCAAGCTGCTTGGCATTTGCCCCGTAGCCCTTTCCAGCCTTGTGGAGGTCCACAATTTTGTCTCTGGTGTCTTTTCACAGCTCTTTGATCTTGCCCATGGTAGTAGTTGGCGTCTGACTGACTGTGGGGTGGACAGGTGTCTTTAAAGAGCTCAGACAGGTGCTACCAAGTTAGATTAATGAGTGGAGTAGAGGTGGACTTTTTAAAGGCACAGTAACAGGTCTTTGAGAGCCAGAATTCTTGCTGTTTCTTAGGTGGTCAAATACTTATGTTCAGCAGTGCAAGACAAATAAATTCTTTAAAAATCATACAATGTGATTTCCTGAATTTTTTTTTTAATTTTGGGCAGCACAGTGGCTAAATGGTTAGCATTTCCGCCTGGCAGTACCAGGGTCGTCGGTTCAAAATCCCCAAAAATATATGTTAAAATTACTTTTTATATGTTAAACAAATCTGAATATATTTTTAAAAAATATATTTTTTTAAATATATTCTTCAGTTTTTTTTAACATATAAAAAAGTCATTATAACAGATATTTTTACATATATTTGTAAATGCATTCCAAAAATGTAGATTTGAATTTTAAAAGACATACAGTATATTTGAAATGTATTTTTAAATATCTTTCATATATTTTGTAATAAAAACGCATTTCCACATACAGTATATATATATATATATATATATATATATATATATATATACAGTGGGGCAAAAAAGTATTTAGTCAGCCACCAATTGTGCAAGTTCTTCCACTTAAAAAGATGAGAGAGGCCTCTAATGGGCATCATAGGTAGACCTCAACTATGAGAGACAAAATGAGAAAAAAAATCCAGACAATCACATTGGCTGATTTGGAAAGAATTTATTTGCAAATTATGGTGTAAAATAAGTATTTGGTCAATATCAAAAGTTAATCTCAATACTTTGTTATATATCCTTTGTTGGCAATGACAGAGGTCAAACGTTTCCTGTAAGTCTTCACAAGGTTGGCACACACTGTTGCTGGTATGTTGGCCCATTCCTCCATGCAGATCTCCTCTAGAGCAGTGATGTTTTGGGGCTGTCGCTGGGCAACACGGACTTTCAACTCCCTCCAAAGGTTTTCTATGGGGTTGAGATCTGGAAACTGGCTAGGCCACTCCAGGACCTTGAAATGCTTCTTACGAAGCCACTCCTTCGTTGCCCGGGTGGTATGTTTGGGATCATTGTCATGTTGGAAGACCCAGCCACGTTTCATCTTCAATGCCCTTGCTGGTGGAAGGAGGTTTGCACTCAAAATCTCATGATACATGGCCCCATTCATTCTGTCCTGTACATGGATCAGTCGTCCTGGTCCCGTTGCGGAGAAACAGCCCCAAAGCATGATGTTGCCACCCCCATGCTTCACAGTAGGTATGGTGTTCTTTGGATGCAACTCAGCATTCTCTCTCCTCCAAACACAACGAGCTGTGTTTCTACCAAACAGTTCTATTTTGGTTTCATCTGACCATATGACATTCTCCTAATCCTCTTCTGGATCATCCAAATGCTCTCTAGCAAACGTCATATGGGCCCGGACATGTACTGGCTTAAGCAGGGGGACACGTCTGGCACTGCAGGATCTGAGTCCCTGGTGGCGTAGTGTGTTACTGATGGTAGCCTTTGTTACGTTGGTCCCAGCTCTCTGCAGGTCATTCACTAGGTCCCCCCGTGTGGTCCTGGGTTTTTTGCTCACCGTTCTTGTGATCATTTTGACCCCACGGGGTGAGATCTTGCGTGGAGCCCCAGATCGAGGGAGATTATCAGTGGTCTTGTATGTCTTCCATTTTCTAATTATTGCTCCCACAGTTGATTTGTTCACACCAAGCTGCTTGCCTATTGCAGATTCAGTCTTCCCAGCCTGCAGGTCTCCAATTTTGTTTCTGGTGTCCTTCGACAGCTCTTAGGTCTTCACCATAGTAGAGTTTGGAGTGTGACTGTTTGAGGTTGTGGACAGGTGTCTTTTATACTGATAACAAGTTAAAACAGGTACCATTGATACAGGTAATGAGTGCAGGACAGAGGAGCCTCTTAAAGAAGAAGGTACAGATCTGTGTGAGCCAAAAATCTTGCTTGTTTGTAGGTGACCAAATACTTATTTTCCACCATAATTTGTAAATAAATTATTATTTCCAAATCAGCCAATGTGATTGTCTGGATTTTTTTTTCTCATTTTGTCTCTCATAGTTGAGGTCTCCCTATGATGCCAATTACAGACCTCTCTCATCTTTTTAAGTGGGAGAACTTGCACAATTGGTGGCTGACTAAATACTTTTTTCCCCAATATATATATATATATATATATATATATATATATATATATATATTTGTGCTCAAAATAATAGCAGTGTGTTGAAAAAAAAGAAAAAAGTGAATAAAGCTCAAAATCCTTCTAATAGCTTTTATTTCCATACACACAAATGCATTGGGAACACTACACATTCTATTCCAAATCAAAACATGAAGAAAAATATATCAAATGTGTGTTGTTCCTCTAAAAAAAATTGAAGAAAAGTGAATATTAGACTGTTCAAAAAAATGTGTTTGTATTCTTCTTTACAAACTCAAACATTCACTATATAAACTGAAAAATGTTTGAAATTTTTACTTTCCTTTGAATCACTTAATTAATATTTAGTTATATCACCATTGTTTCTGAGAACTGCTGTATATCTGTGTTGCATGGAGTCAACCAACTTCTGGCACCTGTGAACAGGTACTGTATTCCAGCCCAGGATGATTGGACTACATTCCACAGTTCTTCTCTATTTCTTGGTTTTGCCTCAGAAACTGCATTTTTGATGTCACCCTACAAGTTTTCTATTGGATTAAGATCCGGGGATTGGGCTGGCCACTGCATAACGCCAATCTTGTTGGTCTGGAACCAAGATGTTGCACGTTTTCTGGTGTGTTTGGGGTCGTTGTCTTGTTGGAACACCCATTTCAAGGGCATTTCCTATTCAGCATAAGGCAGCATGACCTCTTCAAGTATTCTGATATTCTGATGTATTCAAACTGATCCATGATCCCTGGTATGCGATAAATAGGCCCAACACCGTACCATATCATGATGTTTGCGCAACCATGCTTCACTGTCTTCACAGTGTACTGTGGCTTGAATTCAGTGTTTGGGGGTCGTCTGACAAACTGTCTCTGGCCACTAGACCCAAAAAAAAAAAATCTTACTTTCATCAGTCCACAAAATGTTGGGCCATTTCTTTTTAGGCCAGTCAATGTGCTCTTTGGCAAATTGTAACCTCTTCAGCACGTCTTTTTTTCAACAGTGAGACTTTGCGGGGGCTTCTTGCAGATAGCTTGGCTTCACATAGCCGTCTTCTAATTGTAACAGTAATCACAGGTAACTTTAGACCTTCTTTGATCTTCCTGGAGCTGATTGTTGGCTGAGTCCTTGCCATTTTGGCTATTCTTCTATCCATTCGAATGGAAGTTTTTCGCTTTCTTCCACGTCTTTCAGATTCTGGTTGCCATTTTAAAGCATTTGCGATCATTTTAGCTGAGCAGCCTATCATTTTCTGCACTTCTTTATATGTTTTCCCCTCTCCAATCAACTTTTTAATCAAGGTACGCTGTTCTTCTGAACAATGTCTGGAACGACCCATTTTTCTCAGAATTTCAGAGAGAAATGCACTGTAACCAGCATGTACAACATTTGCTGCCTTCCTTCCTTAAATAAGGGCAATAATTTCCACCTGTTTTTCAAAGAATGAATGACCTCACTAATAGAACTCCACACTGCTATTATTTTGAACATGCCCCTTTCAATTAGTGATTCAATTACACCGAATCAGCAGCAAGCATGTCATGACTGTTGCGTCTGTTGGACTTCTATTACTCCACTTCACCAGCTTGTAAATTGTTTGCCATGTAGAAATATCATTTCTACCAAAAACAGTGATTGATCAGGTTAGTGATATCTGACTGCTATTATTTTGAACACGACTATATATATATTATTATTATTATTACTATACAGTATTTATAAAGCACCAATGGTTCGCTCAGCGCTGTACATTACAAATGTATATATATAAACATATTTTGAAATATATGGAATTTGGCCAAAATTGTAGCATTTCAAATGTCAATATATTTGGGAAGAATATTTTAAAAATATATTTCAAAAATATTTTTCTTCCATGTGGGATATATGTGCTACTAATGCATAATAGCACATTATGCCTTTACCTTGCAGGGGATTGTTTGGTTTTTTTTACAATCAGCGGTTTATTACCGCTTTAAGCTATGGAGCTCTGTAAACACCAGGCTTTTTTCCAGGAGCCTACCCACTGTAGGAGCCTAAGCGTTGGTACAATATACAAGTTATTTGTATGCAATATTTCATACTTACCCAACTAAAAAAAAAATACACATTTTAAAACTTTTTTTTAAACTATTTAGTCCTAACTATAAATGGGAAGATGCATGCAAAACCGCTTTTCCACCGCCCTATAGCAGAAATACTGCTACAGGGCAGCAGGGGTGCACAGAATCATGTATATATATATATATATATATATATATATATATATATACACAAAAAACACATGATTTTGCATTTTCAGGTAGAGGGTGTGTGCAAGCCGCATGTGTGCCCTACCCATGCCGTTATCCACAACCTCGGCTGTAAATCACTGGGTCCTGGCCGTTGATTACTTGCCGGCACCCGGTGATCACCGAGTATTACCGACAGGGGAGAGAACTGCATGTAAACAATACAGTTCTCTCCACTGTCAGCTCCTGCACACTGCATAGCACAACCATACAAAGCAGTGTGCTTACAGTTGAAAGCACACACACAGCTTACTGTGAAACAGCACACACGGAACACCCTTTTATCGCCTCAGATGTTAACCCCTTCCTGCCCAGTGCCGTTACTACAGTGTCAGGGCTTTTTATTAGAACTGATCACTGTATTGGTGTCACTGGGGATGTCAGTGATACCAAGTCAGTTTCTCCCAGTGTCAGAATGCTCGCCACAGTTCCGCAATAAGTCGCTGATCGCCGCAAATACTGGTAAAAGATTTTTAAAAATCCAGTATATATACTGCCATTTGTAAACGCTATAACTTTCACATAAACCGATTAATTGTCAGTCTTTTGTTTATAGCGCAAAAATTAAAATACGCACAGGCAATCAAATACTACCAAAAGAAAGCTCTATTCATGGTAAAAAAAAGGACACAAATTTAATTTGGGTGCAGCATTACATGACCACGCAGTTGTTAGTTAAAGTAACGCAGTTCTGTAACGCAAAAAATGGCCTGGTCAGGAAGGGGGGTAAATCCTCTGGAGGCCAAGTGATTAATATATATTCCTTGTAAACATGCCCAGTAAAATTATTATGCATATCACCTGTGAACAGAAATCTGTTCAATATCAGACAGTTTTAGACGTCTCTTGACAATGTAAGGAACAGTGTTGCAAGAGGTTTGTCGAAAGGTTTTTGGAATTTGTGTACCGTTTATGCAAATAAAGATTTTGATGGTTTTAATAAACCATTCTCTATGCAGTTTTTAAACCACTTCCCCCTGGGTGGAAATCATGACATTCTGGGGTTTAAGTGGTTATACTGGATAATGCCTGTAGCTACAGACATCATTCCAGGAACCAGAATTTTCAGCAGCCAATTCCCTTTCATGTAGAACTGATTAGAATGGCTATACAGCCACTCAATCATGTCTACAGGAGGCAGAAGCAGGTCGATGCCACCTTTCCCGGGCTCTCCTGTTTAATTGGGGAGCCTGGGACTGTTCCAACAAGCAACATCTCCAGCAGTGAATAGAGAGAGAGGAACTGATGTTGTTATTCCCTCTCTGTGAGATCAGAAACCAAAAGTGACAAGGATTTAGTCACTTCCAGTTTCGGTTCTTTGTTTACTGGCTTGTTACCTGCCAGAGAAGCAGCCAATCAGACCAATCTGTGTCTAATCGGCTGCAGTGGAGGCCAGAGGAGAGATGTGGGGTCTAATAGACCCCACATCTCTCCATAAAGAGGACCTGTCATGTCCCATGCTATCGCAAGGGATGTTGTTCATCTATGGAATAGCAATAAAGTTGGTTTAAAAGAAAAAAAAATTAAATAAAATTTAAAGCACCCCCAATGCTCACACACAAATATGAATGCATAGCAATAGAGTTGGTTTTTTTAAAAAAAAAGTTAAATAAAATAAATAAATTAAAAAAATGTAAAGCACCCCCCATGCTCACAAATATGAATGCATACACAAATCCAGCACGTATATGTAAATGGTGATTGCACCACACGTGAGATATCTTCGTAAACAGCAGAGCAAGAGCAATCATTCTACCACCAGACCTCTTGTATCATGTAACTCTAAACTGGTAACCTGTAAAAGCTTTTAAATGGAGATTTCCAGGTACCATAGTTTGGAGACATTCAATGGGTGTACTCAATTTTTAAGTGTGATATGTTTTGTATCTATTCACTTGGCGTAACATAATATTTAATATTTTGACAAAAAATGGGTATTATATTGTGTTTGTGTTCACTAAAATTCATTAAAGTGTATTTTTTTGTTTTAAAAATTGTGTTTGAAAAACTGCTGCACAAATACTGTGTGACATAAAAAATTGCAAGCCACCATTTTATTCTCCAGGGCCTCTGCTTAAAAATATATAATGTTTGGGTATTCCAAGTATTTTTCTAGCAACAAAATGCTGATTTTTACATGTATGTGAGAAGTGTCAGAATTGGCATTGTTGTAGCTCTTTGTATGCCATGCACACAAACAACTTTGTCTTATATATGTATATATTATTAGTAGCACCTGATTGTATCACATATCTATAATTACATAAGTAAAGTATGCATTTAAACCAAAAGCTTCAGGAAGATGGCATACACAATAAATCTTGTGCAATTATATAGTGTAAATGTCCATATGAAGTAATAATCCAATCAATATGATATATTTGTATAACATAAAAGTAAAATTGTAACTTGAGAACAATCTGTGTCTTGTAGCAGTTTATGCCATTTAGGATGGTTGTCTAGGCAAATCTTTAGATTTTTAATCAGAACTTCAGCTAAGCAAGATAGAAATTCAAAGCCCATTAAAAGATAAAAAAAAACCCTTTTGCTTTTGTTGCAATTATTTGCAGTATGGCGCATTTGCAGTACCTCTTTTCCACCACAAGAGGCTCTCAGCTTGTTAGATAGCATCATTTAACCCACTTCCTCTGACCCAGACTCTCCTGGACCCACCCCTGCATGACACGTGAAAGGATCCTATCAGCATGCTCTTTGATGGCACATGAACTGAATGGCTCCTTCTGCTGCTTATTCCCATGACCCATGAGTCCAGCTGTACAGGGCCTTCAAAAGGGGTGATACTATGTCAATGTCAGGTACTTACACTGCTTGCATTTAAACCAAATTTAATGATATATTGATTACAGACCTTCATTCATTTGTATCTATAATTAGAGATGAGCGAATCGAACATGACAAAGTGGAATTCGTTTCGAAGATTAGGAAATATTCGATTCGCGCCGAATCCGAAAATTAGCAAACTTCAGATGCACGAATCGAATTTTCCCAAAAATGGCGGCGACATGTGTGGCGATGGAGCGGGGATCTCTGGGAAGGCGCGCAGACAAGGCGCGCTGACCCATAATGCATTCATTCATGACATGTGATCGCATTAGCCAATCAGCAACCAGCCAGCCAGCACTGTGTAATGGTGGAGCTATAAATCGCGGCCATCTTAGAATTCTCCATTAGCCTCCGGTCATTCAAGAGAGACAGACCTCTGTGTATTAGGGACAGAGTTAGGGCCACAGAGACTTTAGGGCCACAGAATCGTTACTTAGGGACACAGAATCGTTACTCAGGGACACAGAATTGTTACTCAGGGACACAGAATCGTTACTCAGGGACAGACAAAGAATTGTTACTCAGGGACACAGAATTGTTACTGAGGGACACAGAATCGTTACTCAGGGACACAGAATTGTTACTCAGGGACACAGAATCGTTACTCAGGGACACAGAATTGTTACTCAGGGACACAGAATTGTTACTCAGAGACAGACACAGAATTGTTACTCAGGGACACAGAATTGTTACTCAGGGACACAGAATTGTTACTGAGGGACACAGAATCGTTTACTCAGGGACACAGAATTTGTTACTCAGGGACACAGAATTGTTACTCAGGGACACAGAATTGTTACTCAGGGACAGACACAGAATTGTTACTCAGGGACACAGAATTGTTACTCAGGGACACAGAATTGTTACTCAGGGACACAGAACCGTTACTCAGGGACACAGAATTGTTACTCAGGGACACAGAATTGTTACTCAGGGACACAGAATTGTTACTCAGGGACACAGAATTGTTACTCAGGGACACAGAATTGTTACTCAGGGACACAGAATCGTTACTCAGGGACACAGAATTGTTACTCAGGGACACAGAAATCGTTACTCAGGGACACAGAATTGTTACTCAGGGACACAGAATTGTTACTCAGGGACACAGAATTGTTACTCAGGGACACAGAATTGTTACTGAGGGACACAGAATCGTTACTCAGGGACACAGAATTGTTACTCAGGGACACAGAATTGTTACTCAGGGACACAGAATTGTTACTCAGGGACAGACACAGAATTGTTACTCAGGGACACAGAATTTTGTTACTCAGGGACACAGAATTGTTACTGAGGGACACAGAATCGTTACTGAGGGACACAGAATTGTTACTCAGGGACACAGAATTGTTACTCAGGGACACAGAATCGTTACTCAGGGACACAGAATCGTTACTGAGGGACACAGAATCGTTACTCAGGGACACAGAATCGTTACTCAGGGACACAGAATCGTTACTCAGGGACACAGAATTGTTACTCAGGGACACAGAATTGTTACTCAGGGACACAGAATTGTTACTCAGGGACACAGAATTGTTACTCAGGGACACAGAAGTTACTCAGGGACAGAATTGTTACTCAGGGACACAGAATCGTTACTCAGGGACACAGAATCGTTACTCAGGGACACAGAATCGTTACTCAGGGACACAGAATTGTTACTCAGGGACACACAGAATTGTTACTCAGGGACACAGAATCGTTACTGAGGGACACAGAATCGTTACTCAGGGACACAGAATCGTTACTCAGGGACACAGAATTGTTACTCAGGGACACAGAATCGTTTACTGAGGGACACAGAATCGTTACTCAGGGACACAGAATCGTTACTCAGGGACACAGAATTGTTACTCAGGGACACAGAATGTTACTCAGGGACACAGAATTGTTACTCAGGGACTCAGGGACACAGAATTGTTACTGAGGGACACAGAATCGTTACTGAGGGACACAGAATTGTTACTCAGGGACACAGAATCGTTACTCAGGGACACAGAATCGTTACTCAGGGACACAGAATCGTTACTCAGGGACACAGAATTGTTACTCAGGGACACAGAATCATTACTCAGGGACACAGAATCGTTGAATTAAAGAGTATGTCAGACAACACGCAGAGGAGTGGCAGAGGAGGCAATGTTTCAGGAGCGAGCAGACGTGGCAGCAGAGGAAGGGGTCGAGGCAGCACTAGTCGCAGCCAGAGGCCAGTGCTCCCGGTGTCATCCAGCGGTCGTGTCTCCACCGACAACCCTGCCGTCATCGATTGGTTGGCTCGGTCGTCTTCCTCTTCCCAGGTCACCTCTGACACCTACAGCCAACGGTCGGTGGGTACGTCAGACACAACCGTTAGTTGGCATGGCCCGGGAGCAAGCCCACTGAAATCACGTGTCCTCTACCTGCCCCTGTCCTTTGGTGTTCCCTCACCAAGCGAAGTATCGCATGCTGTGGGCTCAGCCCCACTGTACAGTGAGGAAGAGCTAACAGAGGGCGGTCAGGAACGGGGGGAGACATCCGCCTCTTCAGCAGCCAGGCGAAGAAGTACTGGCGAGGAGAGTGGCTCGGTAGCCGGTCTAGAGACAGGTCTGT